TGGATCAAATAAAACTCTTAATTTAAGAAACAATATTAACGTGGCCAATCTCTTAACAGAGAGTAGATCATTTGGAGCAAAATTTGCAGTCAGATCTAAACCCTAAGTACAGCCTAAGTACAGCACAGTACATTATTCTAATCTTGACTATGAACCATCACAACCAAACCTACAGGAGGCCCTTCCTGGGATTCCAGGCTGTCTGGCTGACCTCTCTCATGCACCCCTCCCCAGCTCCACCAGCTGTCAACAAAGTCACATTTCTGAAGCTGCAGTTTTGACCATCTTAGTTAAGAGCTTGTTAGAGATTATTTTCTGCTAATCCTCAGAAGTGGCTCCCTGGCCCCTTTCCTAGACCCCGCCAGGTATCCTTGCTTTTCCCCCACCTTCTCAGGAACAGAGCACACAGGCAAGCACGAGAATGTCCACATGCTTACTGCCCTGCACCTGCCTTTCACCCAGTCAGGTTTCTCCTACCTGACAGCTGCTCTCCAGATCTCTTCAGGTTTCAATCAGGATTTATCTAAAGGCCTAATTGGCTCAGAACACCTAACGCAGTATGGCAAACAGGTTTCATGTTTTTCATTAACTCTGACTGATTGGAAGTGGCTGCCTGAAGGGATCAATTAACAAAGACTGTCAGGTGTGTGTGCGTGTGCATGTGCACGGGTGTATATATGTGTGCAGGGGTCATGGGATTTATGTGAAATACTTGCCATCATTGGTTTAAGGTGTTTGTTAACTTTTTCTATAACAGGTTGGCACATTTACAGCCTTTTTTCTTCTACCTTGGATTTTTTTTTTTTTTTCCCTGCAGTAGCTTAGAGTCAGAAAAACAGCTAAAGCATTGGTAGTTTAAAAAAAAATACCCTTAAATAGTCCCTGGTTAGGTATTCAACAGAGACATGCTGTGATTCCACCCAGGATGCAGTAGTCAGGAAGTGGAGAGCAGTGACATCCCAGGAACGAGCATGCTAGATGGTGACAGGGACTGTCTAGCTCTGTATAACATGCTGGAACACCACCCTTAGGGGGTACTGCCAGACACAGCATGAAAACCCCACTCAGCAGCTCTCATTGTGAGATGACAAGCTAGTGTTCCAGAGCTCAGGGCTGCGACTAGGCATCTGCTGGTGTGCATGATGAAGGTCATCACTGGCAGCCCTGCCCCTGGCTTCCATTAGGAACTGAAAACAAAGGACTGTTCATGATTCCTTCTATGGGCTGGAGCTCCACAGGGAGGTCTGAGGTCTGGAAACATGGCACTTTGACCCCAGTGCACGCATGATCAAAGAAGGCTACTCTACAAAGTGTTTGCATGGGAATAAGGGCTGATGACCTCGAGGACAGAAGCCCCAACAGAAAACTGACTCCCCAAGAATGTCCTTTGGGGTCAGGCATGGTGGCTTATGCCTGTAATCCCAGCACTTTGGGAAGCTGAGGGAGGGGGGTCACTTGAGCCTAGGGGTTTGAGACCATTCTGGGCAACATAGTGAGACCCCATCTCTACAAAAAAAAAACCCAGCCATGTGGTGGCACTCGCCTGTGGCCCCAGCTACTCGGGAGGCTGAGGAAGGAGGATCACTTGAGCCCAGGAGTTTGAGGCTGGAGTGAGCTGTGATCCAACCTGGGCCACAGAGTGAGACCCTGTCTCAAAAAAAATAAAAAAAATAAAAGTCCTTTGCAGGGGCTCCTTGTGATTACCCACCTTCCATTCATTCAACCCACACACCCACTACAGATCCATCTCCAAAGCCCCTTCCCTGACCCAGGATTCCAATGTTCCTTTGTCACCTGTTGCATAAAGTCTATCATTGAAAGAGAGGCTGAGGAGGAGGGACAATGTTGAAGCATTCCGAGCAACGAGTTCAGACTGAAACCTTAGGCTGCACATTGAGGGTGGGGGTTGGGTGGGGGTACTGCGCCCAGATCAACACCACCAGATTGGTCCCTGCCCTGTATGGAAGGGACAGTATGGTGGAGTAGTTAAGCCCGCCAGTTTCAAGAGCACACAGACATGGGTTCCACTTCTGGGTCTGGAATGTGCTAACTGTGCGACTTCAGGCAAGTTATTTAAATCTCTCTGAGCTTCTCTATCTGTAAAATGAGGATGAGAACCTTCCACAGAAGGTGGGTGTGGAGATTGAATGAGGTGAGCCATGAGAGGGGCTTAGTTTAATATCTGGCACACACCAAGTGTCCCGCCTCTGGTCACCGCTATTACTGTGATAGAGCTTCCAAGAAGGCTTCTCTCAGGGCTGGTGTGGTTCTCAGAACAGAGCCCAAAGGTTGTCAAGGCTCATGGGATGAATAAGAAAGTGGCACATGGAGTAACGATTCCCTGGCCACTGCTTTCCAAAATGGCAGGTGCTGGCACCAACCTCCACAAAGCCAAATTTGAATTCATGTTTCTTTCCCAACCTGCTCCTCCTGCATCTCCCTCACCTTCATCCTCCCCATTGCTCAGGTCCCAAGCCTTGACTCCTCTCTTTCTCATATACCCCAAATTCACACCGTGGGGGAACGTCTCCTGCTGGATTATCATGATGCCTCTTAAGGGTTGTCTTGTTTCCAACCTTGCCCCCTCTGTTTATTCTCTACGCGTTGGAGGCTGTCATGTTTACAACCATCTAATGGTTTCCAATCGCACTCAGATTAGAAGCCTCCCAGGCCCTGCCAACTCTGCCCTGTGTCCTCTCTGACTCTTCTCCTGCTACCCCCACCTTGCCCATGCCCCTCCCTTCCTCTCCACAGCACAGTTGCCTGCTCCTTGAACACGCAGACACGCTCCTGCCCCGGGGCCTTCACGCTCACTGCTCCCTCTGCTGGAAGCCCTTCCCCAGATACCCACATCATTTGTTCTTCACTTCTTTCCTTGCTTAGATGTCACTTTCCCAATGAGACCGTTCTCACCTACTCCACTTTAAATTGTCCCCTGGGATAGGCTGAAGAATGACCTTTAGAGATATCCATGCCAGAATCGCTGGAACCTGTGAATGTTACCTTATACGGCAAAGAGGACTATGCGGTTGTGATTAAATTAAGGATCTCGAGATAGAGAGACCATCCTGATTATCTGGCTGGGCCCTGAATACAACCACACATATCCTTATACAAGGGAGCACGGGGAGATTCAGCTATTTATAAGCAGAGAAGGCAATGTGACAATGGAAGCAGAGATTGGAGTGAGGCAGCCACAAGCCATGGTGGGCCTGCAGCCTCTAGCAGCAGGAAGAGGCAGGTAACGAAGGCACCCCTAGAGCCTCTAAAAAAAGCCGGCCCTGCTGACACTTTGACTTTAGCCCTGTAAAACAGATTTTGGACTTCTGGGCTCCAGAAGTGTGAGAGAACAAATCTGTGATATTTTAAGCCACCTCATTTGTGGAAATTTCCTATAGCTGCTATAGAAAATGAATACACACCCCTGCACAGTCCCAGACCCCCATTCCCACATACACTCCTTATCATCCTTCCTGCTTCACTTCCCCTCATGCCTTATCTGGATCAGGGTGTTTGACTTGTCAGGATTGTCTGTGTCTCCTCACTAGGATGTCAGCTCCACAAGGACAGCAGCCTTTGTCTGTCTTCTTCACTAAGTGAGGTAAGTGGTGCTAATCCACTCTCATTAGAGCCAGATATCTCTGAGTCCTTTTTTTTGTGTTGAGCCATGTGTAGTTGAGTTCATTTTCGAGAAGCAACAGCATGTGGGCTTTTCCTTGTGGTTTCTAGGGCTGGTGGCAGGTCCTGCTGGGCCCACAGAGGTCTCTAAGGCCTGTCCTAGAGCTGCACTCTCAGGAATTCTGGCCTAAAGGGACATTGGCCTGCACTGTGAGGAGAGCCAGCTCCCCCATGCTGGTAACCCCAGTTGGCTGGCCTTTCATCACTACCTGCCAGCGCCTTCCTCTAGAGAAGCTGGTCCACCTGTATTTCAGAGAGCAATTCCCTGAGAGGTTCCAATCCTCCAGGGCCTCCAGAGTCCTCCTGCTTCATGTGGGGCATGGGGGAAGTCACTGCCTCTGAATTTGATCAGATAATTTCCTTGCAGGTTAGAACATCAACTCTCAGAGCAAGCGTGATGAACTCTTACGGCTGAGCCTGTGAGAGCACACGGACACCAGGGCCCAGTATTTAATGCAGAGCAGTTAACCACGGTGGGAGTGAGACTCTCTAACCTGGCCTCCCGCCACCACTGCTGTGGGGCCCTCCTGTCTCTATCTTGTCATGTGCTCAGATCCAGTCAACTGTAGAGTCAGTGATGCTCTTGCCTGCCTTCCCCGAGTCCCCAGAGTCTGTCCCCAAAAAGTGAGGACTCCCAACGACGGTGCCTCTCACTCTGCCTTGCTGTGGCAAACTCACTGGATAGGATGCCCTCGGAAGGCTCAGTCTCAGCAGGAGAGGCCGAATAACTGCTATGGGTCAGGACAAGGGAGGGCTTGGATGCCATGAGCCAGCAGGAGGGAGACTGGTTTCCAGGGGAGATGAGGAAGCAGAGATGTGTGAAGGGTAACAGCTGAGACTTGCTGGGGGTCAGGCTGCACAGCTCTGACTCTTGCTGGCCATGTGATCTTGGACACATGACAGCCTTTCCAAGCCTCAGTTTACTCATCTGTAATTTGAGGATGGTAAACAGGATTACTGTGAAGCTTAATTTACATGAGAATAAGTGCACAAGTCTGGCACATGGTTAGCATTCAACAAATGCTGAATGTTGAATGTTGAATAGTGATGACAGTAATAGTGAAGATGATGACAGCAGCGGGCTCTGAGGCCCATGGGCTTTATTTCTTGATCTCATGGTGAGGGGAAGACTCAGACTGTGCAGCCTCTTGCTGCTTCCCGTGAGACACAGGGAGAGGAAAAGGGTTTTCCAAAACCCATGGGCGCAGAGAGGACCCTGCTCCCCATAGTCTGAGCTCCACATCCTGGGCTGTCACTGGCCAGAGCATCAGGTCGGGGCACACGTCTGCAGGGGAGGTCATGGCTAGCAGTGAATCACTTACCTTGGCTGTTGTAGGAAGTGATCACCTGGGGCTGCTGAGGGTGCTGCTTCTCCACCAAGTTTTCTATTTAAGGAAGACAGAGAGGCCTGCAGTGACCACTGGGGAATTGACCCCAGGCAGAGCAAAGGGCTGTATGTGTTTGCAGGAAAGGTGGGCCGGCGAGGGCCAAGCACATCCCCAGGCCTAAATGTGTGTGCACCCTCACAGTGTGCACATGTGCAAACCAGCACAATGACACTGTGCATGGAGACAAATGCCTGGAAGCCCATGTGCACATACCCCTTGTGCCCCTTATCATGTGCCAGCACACGCTGGGTTTCTTCTGGAACAGGCTACCAGTCTTCCACGGTCTTTGTAGCCATAACTCCCAACTTTGGCGTCATTAGGCACAGTTTCAAAAGCACTGTCCATACACAGATGCCCCACTGATCCTCACACCTTTCTGTGGAGCAGGCTGGGAGGTTCTGACCTGGGACTTAAACCCCAGGTCTTCTGACTCCCAGTTGAGCCTTCTGCTTCTTTTTTTTTTTTTTTGAGATAGAGTCTTGCTCTGTCCCCCAGGCTGGAGGGCAGTGGCGTGATCTCCGCTCACTGCAAGCTCTGTCTGCCTCCTGGGTTCACGCCATTCTCCTGCCTCAGCCTCCCGAGTAGCTGGGACTACAGGCGCCCGCCACCACTCCTGGCTAATTTTTTTGTATTTTTAGTAGAGACGGGGTTTCACCGTGTTAGCCAGGATGGTCTTGATTTCCTGACCTCGTGATCCACCCGCCTCGGCCTCCCAAAGTGCTGGGATTACAGGCGTGAGCCACTGCGCCCGGCTGAGCCTCCTGCTTCTCGATGAGAAGAAGCAGCCTAGGAGACGGGATGATGTGTAGTTTGGTTCTGTTTCACAAGCATTTGCAGGGCATGCACTCTACGCACATTCTCTCCACATGCTGGGATATTTCTGTCCCTGGGACACAGAGTTGTCCTCAGTGCCTAGTGGAGTCAGGCTGCCATGGAGTGATGCCTAGTTCCTGCCATTGGCCAAGAAGTGGGAGGTCACAGGCTTACTTGCCCTCCTACGGGAAGCATGACCTTTCCTCCCTTCTTTACAGTTGCTACTGTGGCCTGCTCTTAGTGAGGCTGCCCTTGAACCTCTGCTTCAGAGGGGTGGGGGAAAGGCTGGGCAAGGGGAGGATGGTGGCAGCTGGATGTTCACCCACCACTACCACCCTGGCCTGCCATCTTCTCTCTATAGCTTCCTGCTGGCTTGCAGTGGGCTTGTCACTGGAGGTGACCACTGGGACCAGTGCCTCAGTGTGGAAACAAGTATGCCTCTGGGGCATTGGCCTGAACAGGTCCATTTAGATGATTCTTCTTGTGCAGATGAGCCACTCAGTGGTTCCCATGCCTGGGCCCACGCAGAAGCCAATCAAGGTAGGGGGTGAGGTACTGAGCCAGGCTGGATTTGTGATCCACCTGACAGGGTCTTGCCCTGGAAAGCCTGCCTGCTCCAGCCTTCTCCTGTGAACAGGCGCAGCTAGGTCCCTGAGCCCCACACTAGTCAGCCGAGGGCCAGGTCCACTGTGTATTCCAATACAGGGTGATGTGGCATGCAGGGCTGGAGCCCCAGACCAGGCGAGGACAGGGAGGCCAGGGCCGCCTCCTGCAGGCACAGCTGGCAGTGCCTCGGCTGGCTGAGGGAGGAAACAAAATCCGGGAAGGGAATCCTCAAGGAGGGTGATTGGCTGGCATAGCTGCTGTGGGGTATTTATAGTCAAGGCTGCACAATTGGTTTCCCTTTAGCTGTGGAGCGTCAGTCCCTGTGCTACTAGGCAGACTTTGTCCAGGACCAAGGAAAGTAGCCAATCACAGCAGGGGAAGCCCGTTGCTGGGCAAGCTATCGGGGTGGGGTGGCGGGGGTGAGGAGGCGGCTGGGCCCAAACACCTGCTGCTTCGAAAAGTTTGGAGCTCTCTAGTCTCAGCACCCTGCCAATGCCCCAGCCCAAGCAGTGCACGGGGTAGCAAGAGGGGGAATATGCACCCTTCTGGATCAACCCCATGCTCAGCAGCATCTGTGTGCACTCCACCAGCACATGCCATCAGCCACTTCCTTCTAAGATGGAAGCCATCCAGTTACCAGGGCTGGGCAGCCTGCTGGTTACCAGGGCTGGGTGCCTTGGGCACTGGTAAGACAGGTATGAGAAAAGGTCAGCTTCAATACCTGCACTCAGAATCTCAGCATCAGAAAACACAGAGAGAAACTAATTTTGATTTCTGCATGCATGTAAACGTACCATTTGAAAAATAAATGAAATTTTGCTTTACACATGTTGGTGGAATGGTAGAAGTGTCATTTTTTTCTGGGCTCAGGGCCTCTGGAGAGCCTCTCTCCAGCCCTGCATGTACCTGAAACTCCCAGTTCTCATGGTGGTTTTGCAAGGACTATTTTAATCATCTTCTATCAGCTGACACATAGTGCTAAGACTCACTTCATGTCTTTTACAAGAGTCTTGTAATGGTCTTGTAATAGTCAATGTGTCACTTTGTGTTTTGTGATATTTTTCCACTAACCTTCTCCTAAATCAGAAACCCAGAAGATGGTAAAAATAGAATGAATTCAGTATATTTCAATCTTCTCCTGATGTAATAACATGCCTGAGAAGCCCTAAGATGAGTGTCAGACAACTCAGGCAAGGTATGAGAGAGCTGCAACCAACAAGGATGCTGTGCTTCTTTGCTTCCACCTGTGGCTTGCTTGCCCGCTCACCCACTCACACATGGGCCGAGCATGCATACCTTCCATGCCCTGCATGGCCATTTCTGTGGCTAACAGGTCTCTGGGGGTCTGATTCTTATCAAAATTCTCAATAGCCCATAGCAGAGTTTTGTTAGCTTTGGTGTCTACTTCAGTAGAGCTACAGCTGGCATGTCTACCAACTGATGGCCCCTGTAGCAAGGTTACAGGGAAGCCATTGCACCCATGCATGTCTATAGGTTAGGTCACAGAGGGGGTGGTTCCCTGGCAGTGGCAGGGTAGGGGTGGAGGGTGTGTCTTGAGGACTCCTACCAAAGGCAGGGAACATAGGAACACTCTTCACCTCCAGGGTGTCGAGACTCACCTGCAGTGCATTACAATTCCCATCATTTTCACACAGCTCCCCTGAGGGCAGTGTTCTTGGTTGTCTTTTTCACTGTTTCATTTCCAATATTTAGACTCATGCCTGGCACAAAGTAAGCACTCTAGGCATTTGTGGACAGAATGAGTGAATGAATTCACTTTTAGAACTTCATCTTTCCCTTTCATTATTGTCAAAAGGATGGTAGAACATAGCAGTTTAGTCCTATTCATCTGCCATCCTATTTCCACATTTGTGTCATGGAGGGTGGTTCCTTTAGACTGGCATTTGATAAACCAGTCATCTGATCCCAGGGCTCACTTAGCTGGGAGCGGATGGAGTTCTCTACTGGGGTTCTGGGAGTAGAGGTTTGGTCTCTACTAGAACCCTCATGTGCCCACTGTGCAATGTCCCTGATGTTTGTCCCTGGAGGCTGGGCTAATGAACTCTAAAGGGAATAGAATAAAGCCTATTATAGTTGGCCCCTTAGTGTTCCCAAAGAGATCCTGGGCCTGGGGTGGCAGATGCCTGGCACCAGAAAAAAGAGGCTTTGGAAGCTGACTTCTTATTGTATTTTGGGTCCAGGCCAGCAGGAAGCTATAGAACCCTTAAGTGGCATCTTCTCAGGCCTCAAGTCATACCGTCCCAAGGCAGACCACTGTCCTCTCTGCTGGGAAACATTTTCAAAACATAGATGGCTGCCTCTCATAGGAGCACACTCAAACCTCACCATCCCAAGGGATGTTAAGTCCTCCCCTACAGCTCAGCCAGCAAACAAATGGGTGCTCAAGTTCCTGTTCTTCAGCCATAGCCTCCAGGAGAGCAGGGGACCTGACACCAGGGACCACTTCCCACAGTCACAGTGGTCCTAGAGGCCTGGCTGGGTCAGGAGCAGCCACTTTCTGTTCAGTGGTTAGATATCTAGGGCCAGTCTTCAAATGAGTGAAACCCAATCCTTCCAGTTATTATTCAATGTATTAAATCCTATAGGTTGAAAGGAAAAAGAGAATTTACCGTGAAGGTCATTTCCTTCTAATTTCTGCCATCTTCGGACTCCATTTCCAATGCCTTGGAATCCTGCAAAATAACAAGTTTCTCTGAGGCGGGAGACCCAGGGCAAAAGAGTGATGTGCCAGTTGCAGACTTATCTGGGTTATGGTAGAGCAGGTGGATCTTGGCTCTCTTGGAATCTGAGAGAGGTTACCCATGAATCAGATGCCCCTGAGGAAATGAATGCAACTCTCAAAATTCAAAACATCTAAAAAGTGTTAAAACAGTTTTCAAGGGCAGTGGGGTTGGTTATCAGGATCATTTGGGGAGAATTTTTGTAGTAGAGATGCCCATTTTCCACTTCCACCTCTCCTCTGCATACACATGAAAGCATTATTTTAGAAGTCATTTGCTATCCATGTTGCCTGCCTATTTCTGTAAGTGGTGAATCACTCACTTTTAGAGTCTTGATATAGAGTGGGAGGAGTGGGCTAAGACCGTCAATCCCAATGGGAACGGAAAATGACAGTTGCCAGTTCTCTTGGCCTCCCTTGCAGCTAGAGGGTAAACACGTATGGCCTAGCCATGGCCAATCTGATGTACCTGTGTTTCACTCTGCCTTGGGACCTGGTGATGCAACAGGGAAGGGAAGGAAAGCTCTCACTCTGGCTGCGGCTGCAAGTGGTAGCCGCAAGGTCGAGTTCCTGGCACAGCACGGGGATACGTTCTGGCAGCGGGTGCTGCTGCAATAAAATTGAGATTCTGGCGCGGAAGGAGTATTCAGGGCTCCTTGGTGGCCGAGGAGGTTTCCTCACTAGACCAGCTCTGTGGTACTGCTGATGGCACTGTTCCTGGAAGTTCAGCCTTGAGTCTTATTCTCCAGCCCTCTCAACCACTCAGGGGCCGCCACTCCCTTCTTAACACCCTTCTTTTCTGCAGAGTCCCCCATAGCCAGGGCCAGTGACTTACCACTTGGAACCCTCATGACACACCTATGGAGTAGAATACACAAATCACATAGATTTTTGGGATAAGGCCTGAAACTTCGAAGCTCATTGGGTCTTGCTGCAGGCAGCTATAGGCTATATCCTCTACTGCCGCAGGAATATATGCACTTTACTTTCTGATAGGAGTTGAGGGCTTTCAGGCACGTTTTGGAGAAGAACTGTTTGAGGGAAATGACTGGGAGGATGCCTTACAGAAATGGGAGAGAACATCTGCTGGCTCTGTAGCCCAAATTCCTAGTGATCTAGCCTGTCCACACTCTCCTTGCCTTCTTGTCCCCCTGACTCTTTTCTTCCACAAGGCCACCAGCAGAAGGGCCACTGGTTACAGATTACTCCATCCTCTTCATTGCAACAATAACTGAGCCTTGATCTTTTCTGACATGGAGTCTAGGCCCTCTTTTACATAGCCAAGGAAGATCCACTCTCCAGTGGAGGACCTGGAGTGCGGAGGAGAAAGGCGAGATACCTGAAAGTGATCATGGGTTTGTTTTAGATCTTTGCACCCATGGGAGGCTTTGGAACAAGCTGATCTTGTTGGGCATTTTCCTCCCTTAGGCTGTTTTTTGAGGAGGGGGTCTGCAGGCTGGCTTACCCTGGGGTCTCCTGAATATCATTGTTGACCACCAGGCATCAAAAGTCATGCACTTTCCCTCCTCTCTGCTCTGGTTGTGAATAAGTGACAGAGATCTCTACACTGTCACTCATAGCATCTGTGAGAAACGGCCATCAGGAAAATATTTGGAGAAAAAGCTCAGCAGAAAGGGCCCAGCCATTAGGGGTCTTTTTTTCTCTGTCACAGTCACAAGTGTGCATCCATTAGTCTGGAGTCATGGCGAGTTTGTGCTGGGTGTTGGGCACCTCTCAGGACAGTCCTGATGCCTGGTATTTCCTGGGCTTCTCTGCATTCTTTGCCCTTTCTAGTGTCAGAGTCTTTAGAAGTGACGTGATCAGAGAGGATCGTGGGACTTGTGGGCTGACCTGGAACTAGGCCTCACCATACACTGGAGAAGGCATTCTGGACTGTGGTACATGTATTCAGAGCAGTCTCATTTCTATCAAGAAGTTGATGCCCTCTGCTGATTTTCTAACTACAAATACCCTGGACAGGCCATCTCCCCTTCTCCCAAGAGCAGCTCTGAGAACTAAAGAGCCAATGAATCCAAACAACTCCTGCTTCAGTCAGGAATCAGCCCTGAGACTAGAGTGCCTGTCAACATACTCAGCCCTCCAGATTCTGTTTCTTTCCCCTGCCTGCCTTCCCAGGAAGTCCCCAGGGCTCCGGAGGCAGCTCTAGCCTATGTGGCTGGTAGTGGCAAGGCCATCCACAGCAGCATTACTTTAGCAAGGCAGGTGGAAGGTGGATGTTCAATGTGCACAGAGCCTCTGGGGACAGAAGAACCAAGGGCAGAGCAGCAGCAGGAATTCCAAGGAGCTCCAGAGCTGGAGGGGAGGAGAGAGGCAGAAGTCATTCTCCTGCATGGACTGTCAGGCCTAACTTCTAAAGAACTGGCCCACAGTCCGCCTAGTGCATCCTCACACCAGCCTCGGAGACAGCTTGCCATCCAGGACCCTGAGGTTCTCTGGCTTTTCAGGGGCTTATTTAACCTTCCTTATCATCCATCTGCACTCTATTCACATTGTGTTCTGTCGTCTGGAGAACAGAGAGGCCCGGATCCTGCTTTCCACAATCACTCTGTAAACAGTCACTTTATTTTACCAATCTACAATTTATAAATTTACCCAGAAAATATGTAGGACAAGTAAAATTGATGGATAAGTTCAAGTGGAGAGAGCAGGTTTCAAATCTTACCCTATCCAAACCTGCGTTCCTTTTACGCCTTTCATGCCTGCCATCTATAGAAGGCTAGGAGAAAGTCTCAAGAAAGGAGAAACTGAGGCTGTAAACTGTGCAGGGCCACAAAGGGCGCTCCCCATCTCAAAGGCTGACTCAGCACAAAGGTTTCCCAGCGTCCCCTGTGCCCTGCAGTGTGCTGTGGGAGGGGAGCAGGCCTCTGCTACCTGTGAGTGAGCTCTGAGGCTCTGGCCGCCTTCCTCCAGGGTATCTTCCAGTCTTGCTCTCCCCGTCAGGGAGTGGCTGGGAGGAAAAAGACTCCCAGGGGTGACGGAAGCACCCACAGGCCTGCACAGGGAGTCAAACTGGGGCAATCACGGGGCTGCGCGTTGCCACGGGACTGCGCGTTGCCACGGGACGCCGGTGCCACTGCGGGGAAGCGACGGCAGCCATGGGGGAGAGGGTCGGGCTCGCAGACCTCGTTCGGGGGAGCAATGGGCGCCCCCCGGCGGGCGGGCCCTGTGGCAAGGAGGCCGAGGTGCCGGGGGACCCGGGTACCCGGGTCGGGCGCGCGTTACCTCCTCGGCGCTGCAGCAGCGCGCTCGGGTCCGCCTGCTGGTCTGAGTGCGTACCCTGTGCGGCGCGCCGCTTCTCCGAGTGCACGATCAGCAGCATGTCGATAGATACGGCGTTGATGTCCTTCTTCAGCTCCATGATGCCGCCTCCCTTCCGACCTGGGCGCCGCGGCCGCACACTAGGCTGCTTGCGCTGCAAATGGCCCCGTGCGCGCAGCTGCCCCACACGGGAGAGGGCGAGGGCGCGGGAGAGGGCGCTCCCCCGCCGCTGGAGCTGCAGGGCGCCGCGTTTCGCTGACTCTGCCAAACACGCCATTAGGGCCCTCCTGGGAGGGCGCTACCCTAATGAAGCTGTTCTAAGTCACCTTTGAAAGGAAATCCCCAGGCCCAAGCCTTGACCTGCACCGGGGCCATAGTCGGCAGAGGCGGCCGGTCCAGAGCCTCCCTCCCTGCGCCCCTGCCTCCCGCTCGGTGCACTTGAAGCGCTGGTCCTGGGCTCCAGGACTTCTCTGGCTGAGCGCTGCCTCATCCCCACGGTCTCCGGAGGGTTTCCGAGAGGGCCCGGAGCCCACCTCCCACGAGAAGACTCTGGCAAATACAGAAATCGCACAGTGCTGTCAACATTGAGAGTAGGTTCAGGAGAAGGAAAGACAGCAAAGGGGCTCCAGATTGAATTGCAAGATGTGCAGAAATTGGCCAAGATTTGGCCTCGACCTCCCTCGTTCCCCGGGTGGGTTTTGGAGGTTGACAGCTCTCTCCCTAGGAGGGAGTTGGGTGGGGTTTTGGAGTCAGGAGCTCCCCCCAGTTACGGCCCCTCTAGAACTTGGAACATGCCCATTGAGTATCAAGCTGACGATCCTCTTTGATCTGAAAGGAAAGTCTTAAAGTCTCTGTTCCTTCTAGAAGCCTGGCTCCTGCCCTGTAGGGAAGGAGGGAGGGGGAGAGGAGGAGGCTGGGCACAGGGAGCTGGACCTGAGAAGCCTTCTATTTTTAGCCCGGCCTGGCCTGCCCAGCCAACAGCAGCAGGGGTTTGGCTGTAGGTCTCAGGAGTGTTTACATAGGCTTCTGCCCGGTACCCCGGGGCACTAACGGCCCACCCTGCTGGGGGCGTTCCTCTAATTCGAGTTTCTACTGTTAATAAATGCCCCCCACATGGAGGCCTTTGCTCTGGGAGCCCTCCCCACATTGGAGTGTATGGACCCCACCTTGTAGCATGGCCCTGAGAGTTCCCAGATCCTCCTTGGAGGAGCCAGTGTCACATAGACTGCATTCCAGTACCAGTTCCATCACTTCCTGGCTGTGTGACCTTGGACCAGCCATTTCCCCTCCACCTTCTTACCCTTATCACTGGGTTGGTAAAAATTTCTCACATGGCTCTTGTGAGAATGGCATGAATATAAGGCACCTGGTGTACAGAAAGTGGTCTTCACATGGTGGGTAATACCTTCACATGTAGGTAGGAAATACTTCACCCTTAGTTCATTTTAAGGATAAGTAAAGGGACAGAGGGAGTGAGAAGTGACTGGTGGAGCAGAGAAGCAGGAGACATGTCACAGCCACACCCTGAGATTCTGAAGGTCTTCCCCCAATAACAGTGGCTCAGAGTTTGGTCGCATGTAAAGGCTGTTGTCTCATTGCATTACCAGCGCCCCCTGCCACCCTGCCCCCACCTCACCCACTGGGCATCTGATGAAAGGAGAGGTTATTGGCTTCCAGAAATGTTGAACTGGAGTCCCCAGAGAGCTGAGGCCATAGACAGACAAGTGGAGATGGGTGACTCCCAAGGCAGGTTTCCTTCTGCTAAAGTGAGTCTTGTCCTATCTGTATGTGTGCAGGTACACACACACACACACACACACACACACACACCCCTGGGAGGCTGGCTGACACTTGCTCTCTGTGTGGCTGGGGAAGTAAGAACTATGAATTACGCAAAGCTCTTGGGGTGTTGGAAATTGCTGAGGCAGATCTCAGGTCCCAGAGTTCCCCCAGCTACCCTGGGCCAGTCAATGTTGCCTAACTCCTTCAAGTGTCAGGTTGTCTGAAGTGCTGAAACCAACGAGAAGCCCGTGTGCAGCACCCCTGGTTGCTGGATGGGTCTGAGTGGTGGTGATGGTGGGGGGAGCTGAAGTCTCATTTCCTTACACTTGCATTCCCATCTCCCAACCCCTGCTCTCCTGCTGGAAAGTGTCATTGCTAGGAACTCGCAAACTCTGGTGCCCCCTCCCAGAACTGCCTCTGGAGAAGGATATTCTGACCTGGGAATGGGCTGCCAGGGGTCTGGGGAGATGGTGTGGAGGCCTCATGTCTCTCTGCTATGTCTGAAGACAGCTTTGGAGCAGGGCCTCTCATCTTTGGTGCTATTGACATTTTGAGCCAGATAACTCTCTTTTGCGGAGCTTTCCCGTACACTGTGGGATGTTTAGCAGCATCCCTGGCCTCTACCCACTAGATGCCAATCACATTCACTTCCCGATTGTGACAACTTAGAATGCCTCCAGACATTGACCAATGTTTCCTTTGGAAAGAATTGCAGTGTGGACACCGCTTTGGAGCAAACTCCTGAAGTTGGAGTCACCTTGACTGCTCTGGGAGATGTTGCTGCCCCTGGATCCTGATGCTGCCTGACACCTAGACCCTCTTCCTAGAGGTTTACCCATGGCCATCAGTCCAACAGCCCAGCTTCTGGGGCCTGCCAGGAGCATAGATGAGATGCTTTTCTTAATGCCAACTCTATTCCCATCCTTGGCCTGGGTTGACCTAGCTGCCTCCCCTCTTCCCCACTATCCATTCTTGGGCGGAGAGGGAGACACCATGGGGAAGGTGATGTGGCTGAAGGCATTTGGATAGATCAGGACAGGGGAAGGAGAGACAAGAGAAGACTGAGGTGGCTGGGATATCGTTCAAGTAGAGGCTCTGTCCCTTCTGCTCAAATCCTCCCTGCAGCTGCTCACATAGTCAATGGGACAAATGACAGAACCCCCAACCTGCAAATCTCCAGACCCATCTCTTCCTTTTTCCCTACCAAACCCACACACGCTTCAGCAAAAACCATGTCCTCTACACCCCAGACACACCATACTAGCCCCTCCATCCTGCCACTATCTTGAATAAAAAAGATGCAAGGCTCTCTGTATTCTGACCTAAATAATTAATCTGCCTCCTTGTCTTAGGATCTGACAAACCAGGGGCCTTCTCCATTCTTGAGCAAAACTTTATTTTAATCAAAATGAGTGGGAAATTCCAGGATCCAAAAAGACAAAGAGCAGTCAAAATAGTTGTATTGTCACCTTCGTCAAATTCAACACTTAGACACATCCAGCTGTCAGCAGCCCTGCATCCACTCCTTTGCTAGAAGGTGAGATTTGTCAGTTGTCTGAATGGTTCTGGGCCCTGAGTTGGTTCTGCTGTTTTGGAGATGAGAAGTGTTCACCAGGGGCAGCTTCAACCTGGCAGTTGAAGCTGTCACCAGAGAGAAGTGTGTTTTGACCCTCACAGTTCCCTCAGAAGTAGTTTTGCAGGGACCATCAGTCATAACTGTTTTTACCACTCTTGGGATTCCAAGAGGCAAGTTTCTCTCTTCCCTATAGAGATAGAGTAAGTAAGCCAATGCAAGAAAGGCTTTTGGCAGGGAATTTTCTCCATTGATGATGTGGGGAAGAGGCATACAGAGAGTGGTGTGGGTTGGTGAAGAGTAACAGACCAAATTCCAGTCTCCTAACTCCCTCAGCCTCCCCTGAGATGAGTGAATCCTTACATGGGATACGGGATACCTTTCCTAGAAACTTTTCCACAGCCAGTGTAGGCTTCCCATGGCCTCTTGGCCGGCCTGGCTTAGCTTGCTTCTGCTTCTGAGCCTTTGCTATTGCTATGATTTCTGGCTGGAAAACCCCTTTGGACTTCCCTGGCAAGTACAGTTTAGGCATCCTTCAGGATCCTGTGGGTAGGGTCTCATGAATGTGGTTTCACAGTTGGAGGGCAGGTATAGAAGGAACTGGAGCCATTTCCTTCCCTCTACTTTGAAGCCTTCCTGGGTACCCCAGACCTTGGAGGTTCTGGGGAATGCCAGTTCTCTGTGGTGCCTCTTTTTACAATCCCAATAGTTAATTTGGAAGCTCACCCCTGCTCTTGTCCCACACCCACCAAATTTGGAAATCATATCAATCCCCTCTGGAACAATTATGCCAGGCAAACCTGTTTCCAGACACTGTCTCCCAGCAGGGTAATAGTGAACAATGTACTTAACCTCTTTGAGCCTCAGTTTTCCTCATCTGTCAAGTGGGTGAGAGTGTTGCTGGGATTAAATGAGATAAGGTACTTAGCTATGGGTAGTTATAGCTATGGCAACTTCCTGTATTCCGGTCAGACCCCGTGCTGGGTCCTGTTCTGGGGAAGGTCTCATGGATGTGGTTTCACAGTTGGAGACGGAGTATAGAAGGAAACAGAGCCATCTCTGACCTCCACGTTGTCTTCCTTCCCATATCACTGCTCTGTGGCCACTGTTCTACAATCACAGAAAAACTCAGTGAGCCACAGAATCCATTCCTTGAAGAACTGACATCAGATCTCTGTGGCTGCAGCCTGTTTGGCAGGAGTTACGGCACAGCACAGTTCTGCTTCTTTCCCACCCCGATGACACTTGTGAACTCTCTGTGTGCATTCAGTAGGATAAACCTTTGCATCATCTCCGTTTTATAGATGAGAAAACAGAGGCTTAGAAACGTAATGTGACCTACCCAAGGTCTCACATGTGTCTTACAGGTAGCAGGGGACACCCAACCCTTGACACCCCACCCAACTCTGTATGCTCCAAAACTCATGTGCTGAACAACACCTGCCCCCCCCAACCTATATGACCATAACATGCCCATGAGCTGAGGCTGCATAGTGCCCAAGCCAGGGAAAAGATCAGCTGTCAGCCTGTGGGGAAGGTGGTCTTAAGAATCATGATGAACACACCTTGACCCGGGGTTTCAAGACCTCTGTCTTGGAAAAATTCTTTGAGCTCAAGCCCTGAGCTGGGCTTTTGGGGACAGATTTTACAGTCTCTGTGGCATGAGTTGTTTTGGGTGGGGAGAGAACTGGTGGCAGTGGCAGTAGTGAAAAGTTGGTGGCTGGGAGCATTCAGCAGTCTTCAGGAGCAGTGAGGTAGTCCTGCCAGGGATGGAGAGGAAGGCCGAAGACTACAATTTTTGTAGACAGGAAAAGAAATTTTTGTGTTGTGATAGTTCCATACCATTCTGGGGTGAGGATGGTTACACTGTAAAGAGAGCTTTCCACCTCTGCTAGGTTTGCCATGAAGATGTTTCCCAGCACAGATGACGGCTTGTTCTTGAGACCCCACTGTGTGCAATGCCATAGGATGAAATGAAAGAGTAAATACAGGGGAGGGGCACCTGTCCTCCCAGAGAGGAGAGGCCAAGAAAGCTACATTCCCAAACAGTGTCCTTAGGGATGAATGAGTAGGAGAGAGGGACCGGGCTTTCCAGGCAAGGAGGAGCCTGGGCAGGAAACAGGAGGGGCTGGAAGGAGTGCTGGAGGTGAGAGAGAAAACGGCGTGTCTCAGGAAGTGAAACCAGGGCAGTCTGGTTGGTACTATGGTGCAGGGGAAGAGCTCTGAGAGGAGCAGAAGAGCAGCCAGGGCCAGTCTGCTGTGGGTGAAGCTTCAGCTGCCCATCTGAGCGGTGATGCTGGTCCTGGTCAGCAGGGATGGGAGAGCAGGGGCAAGGATATTCACAAGGACGAGGGTGCAGGTCCCACGGTTGTCCTAGGCATGATCAAAACCACTGTCACCTGAGACTGGCCTTCTGGGGAAGATGCTAGGCAAGGGTGGTGATGGTATGAAGAGACAGTCAAACACCACATACAGATGCTGTGTAAGAAAAGGAGGATCTTTTGGGGTAGTGTGGGGTAGAGTGCTGGGTGAGGT